AATATATATAATATATATATAATATCTATATTATAATTATATATATAATAATATATATATAAATATATGTACTAATGTATAATAGTCACCTCTCGTTCTCTCTCTGTTGACCCAGTGAGTACTCAGGTGTCCCAGTGAGACTGGATACTTCCCAGTTTTTCAGCTGATCCCAGAGCAATGGGAATTCCACCCTCCCTTAGATCTCCCTGATCTTCTCCATTGACCCAACTGGTTTCTGGCAGCTGACTCTGAACTGAGCTGGTGGAGGAGAACCAGAGGCTGCAGCACCTCAAGCTCTTTTCCAACCCTTCTAGAACACTCCAAACCCCTTCCTCTTGCTGAGGAGAAGACTTTGATGCTCCCAGGGGTCCCTGAAGGGATTCATTATCCTGTTGGTCCCCAAAATGTTGCTCTGAGGAGCAGAACGGGCCGTGGGCGAAGCTCCACACCCACCTCTCCGTGCCCTCAACCACCAGTGAAATCCAACCCTTGTGGCCACATTTATTTATAAAACTGCCTTTCTGGCCTCTCGAGCCCCGAAAATTGCTGAAAGGGGCAGACCAGGAGCTATTCAAGATGAGCAGAGGGGTAGTAATTAGCCAGCTGAAAATATCCATCGCCGCTGCCCGCGGTTTCGGGGCTTGCAGGAGGGCAGAGGACAACCTGGCCAGGCTGCTTTGGTTGCTTTGGTGGGGATTTGCATCAAGTCAGCAAATGCAAATGATAAAAAAAAATAGAAATGGAAGGGAAAAAAATGGAAATGTGAGCTGGCAGTGACTGGGATGGGTTGGGAATGTTTGGGGCTTGCTCAGGGAGTCGGGGCCAGGGAGGTGGGGAGTGGTGGGTGGATGAGGAGCTCAGGGGGGGTGGGTGGGTTTGTCCTTCACCTCAGGAGCTGAGACCACCAGGACAGGCCTGGGAAAGGGTCTCCGAGCCCTTCCCACTGCCAGCAAGGAGCCCTGGAAAATCCAAGGTTGCCCTCTGCTGGAGTGAGGGGCTGGCAAAGGGACCAGGGACAGGAGCAAAGAGCCAGCAGAGGAGAATGCAAAGAAGAAAACAAAAGGAATGTTAATTAGTCCCAAGGGAGAAAATGTTGTTTGAAAGTCTTGGATGAAGAAGGAGATGAGTAAGATGTGAGTGGAATGATAAAAATGAAAAGGGAGGGAGAAAGGAGGAGAAGCAAATCCTGGAGGAGGAACAGAGGGGAATAAGCAAAGGAGAAGAGAGGGGAAAAAAGGGGGGAAATGGGATAATGAGAAGGAGAAGGGATTGAGAAGGGAAAGATGGAGAAAATCCAGTGTGCAGAGGGAAGGGCTGAGTGGCTGAATGGGTCAAGACTTCAGGAAAAGAGGGATAAACTCACTGTGTGTGAAAAGTGGGAGGGGAATATGTGCAGAAGAGCAACAGCAGGACAAGGGTGGGATTCAGGGATTCAGGGCTTTAAAGCCAAGGGGATATTTGTGGATAGGGTGCTATGGAGTAAAGGATAAAGGATAACAGTGGAGTCAAAGGATCAAGGAGGGTAGGAAAGGATAACAGCCTATTATTGCACCCTGAGGTGTTCCTCTGATTCTGCAACTCCAGCAGGGAGAGGGGACCTGAGGAACTGTTGTGTCCTGGGCTCCTGCCCTGACTCCGTTGGAATCACAGGATTATTTAGGTTGGAAAAGGTCTTGAAGATCATCAAGCCCAACCACCAACCCACCACTGCCAGGTCCAGCACTAAGCCGTGTCCCCAGGCACCACATCCACAGGGAATTGGGGGCGGAACAGGGACCATCTCCCACGGGAATGTTCCTGCCAGGATGCTGCTGTGGTAAGAGCCTCAATTTAGGGTCAGGAGAGGAGACATGAGGATGTTCCCAAGGATGTTCCCAAGGATGTTGTGGAGAGGATCTTGTGAGGGACCAGATGACCCAGAGTGGTCCCTTCCAACCTGACCAGTTCTGGGATTCTGGGATAAGGTTTTCCATGTACGTTCACCTTCCCTCACCAACCACTTGTTGGGCGATAATTCCAGTTTTTGATCATGGCATCTCTTGCTCATAATTCCAGTTTTTGATCATGGCATCTCTTGCTCATAATTCCAGTTTTTGATCATGGCATATCTTGCTCATAATTCCAGTTTTTGATCATGGCATTTCTTCCTCATAATTCCAGTATTTTCTCATGGCATATCTTGCTCATAATTCCAGTATTTTCTCATAGCATATCTTGTTCATAATTCCAGTTTTTGCTCATGGCACATCTTGCTCATAATTCCAGTACTTCGTGATGGCATTTTTTGTTCACAATTCCAGTATTTCCTCATGGAATATCTTGTTCCCTGCTGATGGAGATGCTCCTTCACCTCCGGGGGCTGTTGCTCTCTGAGCGCCTCGAGTTTAACACAATATCCAGTTATCCCAGCAGCAGAATTCCTGCTGAATCCTGGGCCTTCCTGAGTGTTCCCAAGGAGCTGGAAAGCTCTCAAGGCCAACCATTCCTGCCCTGTTTTCTGCACTTTCACTGAGGAGGAAATACCAGGAGAAAAACATTTGACCTCTCCGATCCCATCCCTGATGGAACCGGAAAACCCGGGGGAGGAGGAACACAAACCCTGCAGATAACAGAGGCAACAAAGCTCATCGAGGCTGCTCCCAAACTCAAAAATGAAAGGCTCAGGCAGATTTGTCTTTGGAATGAATTTCTCCTTCTCTTTTCGCCTCCCAGAATTTAAGGAAGCGTTTTCCCTCTTCGACCGGACCCCGAAATCGGAGATGAAAATCACTTATGCCCAGTGTGGGGATGTCCTGAGAGCTCTGGGGCAGAACCCCACCCAGGCTGAGGTCATGAAACTGCTGGGCAGACCCAAACCAGAAGGTTGGTGCCCTCCCATTGTGTGTGTGTGTGTGTGTGTTTTGGAAAAGGTCACTGCAAGAATTATCCGTGAGATCTCCATTTTTCTGACAGAGGCGTTAATTTTGGGACAACAAGGGCTGTGAATCAGAAAAAGAAATGAGGAAAGAAGTGGCCTTGCAGTCAACAAATTGAGAAGAGTTTAATTTAACCCTGTCCATCAATGTGTTCTGCATTGATAAGTTTTTCCCTTTTAAAATTGCTTTGATGGCAGGAATTTGTGTGTGTTGACTAAAAAATACAGATATTCCAAAGCCATCCTGAAAAACAAAGGGATGGACTGGTGGTGAGGGCACAGCTTGTTCTACACAAGATGTGTGAGAAGGTGTGGGATGTTTGCAGAAATACCTCCCTGTTTCTGGGCTCTTCTCTCCCCTTTAGCCAGAATTTTGGGACAGTTCTTGTACCCGTGGTGGATGGGGTGGTGGGTGTCCCATGGTGAGCCCTCAGCTCTCGCAGACTCCAAGGAAACTTTGCTTTCCTTTGCAGAGATGAACTCCAAGATGATTGACTTCGAGACCTTCCTGCCCATGCTGCAGCACATCGCCAAGACCAAGGACACGGGCACCTACGAGGACTTCGTGGAGGGGCTGCGGGTCTTCGACAAGGAGGGCAACGGGACGGTCATGGGGGCCGAGCTGCGCCACGTCCTGGCTACCCTGGGTAAGGGCTGCTGCAGCTTTGCAGTTTATTTTATTTTATTTTATTTTATTTTTTTTACTCGATTTTATTTCATTTTGCTTGATTTTATTTTAATTTCGTTTTATTTTATTTCATTGTATTTCATTTTATTTTAATCCACTTTATTTTATTTTATTTTATTTTATTTTATTCTACTTTATTTTTTTCACTCTATTTTATTTCATGTTATTTTACTTTATTTTAATCTACTTTATGTTAGTTTAGTTTTAGTTTTATTTTATTTCATTATTTAGTTTAATTTAATTTAGTTTAATTTAATTTAGTTTCATTTAATTTCAATATTTATTTTATTTTCTTAATTTAATTTTTTTTAAATTTTTTTTAATTTTATTTTTTATGATTCCACCTGAAATCACCCTCGAATTTCTCATTCCTCATTCCTTCCTTCCTCCCTCCCTTCCTTCCTTCCTTTCCTTTTTTTCTTGTTTTATTTTATTTTATTATTTTATTTATTTTATTTAATTTCATTTAATTTTATTTCATTTTGGTTTATTTTATTTTATTTTATCATTTTATTTTATCTTATTTCTTTATTTTATTTTATTTTATTTTATTTTATTTCATTCCATTTAATTTTATTTCATTTTGGTTTATTTTATTTTATTATTTTAATTTTTTTTATTATTTATTTTATTTTATTTTAATAATCTCTGAATTCCCAAATAATGTTTTCTCTCTCTCTCTCCCATGTTCTTTGGGAATCTCTGAATTCCCAAATAATGTTTTCTCTCTCTCTCTCTCCTGTTTTTTGGGAACCTCTGAATTCCCAAATAATGTTTTTTTCTCTCTCTCCCCTGTTCTTTGGGAACCTCTGAATTCCCAAATTTTTTTTTCTCTCTCTCCTCTATGTTGTTTGGGAATCTCTGAATTCCCAAATAATGTTTTCTCTCTCTCTCTCTCCCGTGTTCTTTGGGAATCTCTGAATTCCCAAACAACGTTTTCTCCCTCTCTCTCTCCCGTGCCCTTTGGGAATCTCTGAATTCCCATCTAACACTCCCGGGTTCTGTTTTCCGTGCAGGGGAGCGGCTGACGGAGGAGGAGGTCGATAAACTCATGGCTGGGCAGGAAGACGCCAACGGTTGCATCAACTACGAAGGTGGGTCTGAAGACTTTGCTAAATTTATCCTGGAAAGGTTCAAATCCCTGGAAAACCTGCAGCAGGACATGTGCTTTCCCAAATTTCAGAGCGATTCAGAGTGTATAATTCATCTGGGAAATTCTATTTATTGAAGGTTAATTCAATTTTCCATAAATAATGCCCACGGTCCTTTCTGTAAATTATTCTTTTATTTGCCTATTTTTTTAATTTTAATGTTATTTTTTCGACCTGATCCCACAATTCCTTGTCCTCTCAAAAAAAGAATTCACGTCCCTTTTGAGACTGACAGAAAATATGGAAGGTGGAAGGTGCTCAATCTTACTTTTTTATTTTATTTTATTTGAATCCATGTTTATTTTATTTTATTTTACTTTATTTTAATCTACTTTTTTATTTCAATTTTTTTACTTTAATTTTATTTCATTACTTCATTTCATTTCATTTCATTTTATTACATATAATTTCATTTTATTATTTATTTTATTTTATTTCCTTAATTTCATTTTTTAATTTTTATTTTTTATTTTACTTACTTTTATTTTTTGTGATTTCACCTGAAATCACCCTCGAATTTCTCATTTACTTTTCTGAAACTCATTTAATCCCTTCCTTCCTTCTTTCCTTCCTTCCTTTTTCCTTTCCTTTCCTTCCTTCCTTTCCTTTCCTTTCCTTTTTTTTTCTTGTTTTATTTTATTTTATTTTATTTTTTAATTTTATTTTTTAATTTATTTTATTTTTTTAAATTTTATTTTAGTTTATATTTTATTTCATTTTTATTTTTATTTTATTATTTTATTTTATTATTTTATTATTATTTTATTTTATTTTTATTATTTTATTTTATTTTATTTTTATTTAATTTTTATTTTTATTTTATCTTATTTTTATTTTATTTTATATTTTATTATATTTTATTTTTATTTTTATTATTTTATTTTATTATTTTATTTTTATTTTATATTTTATTATATTTTATTTTATTTTTAATTTTTATTATTTTATTTTTTTATTTTAAGGGTAACCAGTGACCATTGTACCATCCTGGGGATTTAATTGATCTGTCCTGTTCACAATAATGAAAATAACACATTTAATAAATATTTGGGTCAATGCTCTCCTTCTATTTACGAATCCCATGAATCAATAAACTAACAAAATTCACAGAATAAGGGAATTATTGCATCAAACCCTCTATTTCTTTTCTTTTGAAATTCAAAATTATACATAATTGGATTTTATTTCAAATAGAGATGACTCTTCTCTTCCTCTTTTTTATCCCAGCTTTTGTGAAACACATCATGGCAAACTGAATTCCAGGTGAGTCTTCCCTCTGATTTCCACAGAACATTTGATTGGATTTCATTGGAACCCTCAAAGGACGGGTATTTTTTCATGTGGACTTAAAAATCCCTGGATTTGGGGTATTCTGGGATCCTGGGACTTCCAAAAAGCCGAGGAGAGGGAACTGAGCTGAGCAGGGAAAAAACAGAAGGAAAAAGAAATAAGAAGGAATAAAAAAAACCTTTTCCAGGAGGATAATTGGTGGCCTCCCATAAATCTGCATCCCAACACCCCGTGACAAAGGGATTTATTTCCCAGGAAAAGACTTTTTCCAGGACTTTTCCCGGCTTTGGGCAGTCGTGGTGTCCAACCCGCGGCGGCCCTGAGGGAACTTTGCCGCTGGCGTTTCCTGCTCATCCCTCATTCCCGCTTTCCCGGAAAAGCTGGCTTTGGCTGGAGCTCTCATTCCTGCTTTCCCGGAAAAGCTGGCTTTGGCTGGAGCTCTCATTCCCGCTTTCCCGGAAAAGCTGGCTTTGGCTGGAGCTCTCATTCCCGCTTTCCCGGAAAAGCTGGCT